CCAACTTTGGTCGGTTATTTTGCAGAAAATAACAATTACCGACCAAAGTTGGTCGGTAAATGCTTCCCCTACATTAACCGACCAACGTTGGTCGGTAATTTTAAATATAAATTCTTAAATATTATAAAATATTTTAAATAATAAAATAATTATTAAAATTTAAAAAATTGGATCCAGATTACCGACCAACGTTGGTCGGTAATCCAAAATTTTCTTGTCTGACCAGCTGGGTCAATTCGTTGACCAATTTACCGACCAACGTTGGTCGATATTTAGTTTTAAAAAAATATAATTTTTTTTTCCCAGTTTCCGTCCAACCCGGACGGTTTTTGATCGCTTTTTTTGACCGACCAATGTTGGTCGAAAATATTTGGTTGATTTTTAGCAGATTTTTAGTAGTGGTCGTGGTTTGATCACACCTTGGTGTTGTCAGAAACAAGTGTTGACTCACACACCAATCGGAGGATTCTTGACTCATTGTGGTTGGAACTCGTTTTTGGAAGCTATTTGGTGTCAAGTTCCGTTGCTTTGTTTCCCTTTGCTCACTGATCAATTCACTAATCGAAAGTTAGTGTGGTTGATGATTGGAACATCGGACTTAATTTGTGCGATAAAAATCCAATCACTAGGGACGAAGTATTGGAGAAAATACACCATTTAATATATAGAAAATCAAGTGATGAATTTAGAAATGCAATCAAGAAAGTGAAAAAGACGTTAGAGAATGCATTGGGAGATGGAGGATCATCACAGGAAAACTTGGATAATTTCATAGGAAGAGTATGTTAATAATAAGTTTGAATTTCTAGAAATTAGTAGGTGCATGATATTGGTACTATTCATGCGATTTTTAGGATATTAATTATGTAATTTTTTGCACAATCCTTATGTATTTGATTTATTTTTTCAATGTAGCCAATTTCCTATAATATATCTATGAAATTAGTAAATGTAATTCAAATCCAAAAGAAAAAATGCACTCTCTTCGTTCACTTTTACTTGTCCAAAAAAATACATTTTCACTTTTACTTGTCCACTATACTAAATCAAGAGAAAAATAATTTTTTTTTTTTGTTTTATCCTAATCATTAACTACTCATTCCCCAAAATAATTTTCAAAATTTTTGAAAAATACTATCGTTATTATGGATAGAATTATAAAATATATACTTCATTTATTTTTTTTTTTTAAAGGGAGCAAAAACTCAAAAGTGAACAATCAAAGTGAAAGGAGGAAGTACTAATCAATGGAAACAATGAGGGAATTACTCCTAGTGCAATCCATGCTAATGGACTGAGGATAAGGATAAGTTTGGCTTTGAATTCAGTGCAAGTAAAAGGAAAAAAAAAGTAACTTTGACTTATTATACATGCAAAAAGTAATTAATTTCTCTCTATCCCAAAATTTATGATGCCTTTGAATATATAGATTGCTGGTCATATGGATCATCTTCTTATGTTTGTTTTCTTGTTCTTTTTAGGAATTAACCCAAGTACTTGCACATCTAATTTTTTAAATTAAAGATAGTCAGTAAATATATATAATTCACATCTAGTATATATATAATATTGTGTATAATTAATATATAATATATATATATATATATATATATATTGGTTAGGAAAAATAAACAATAAATTTGACCGGGTATTTATACAGAAAACCCTTTTTTTCTCTCTTTACGAAATGTTTTTTTTTCAAACACTTTAAGCCTTTCCCCAACAAACAGCAATACATGTCATTCAAAGGATAGTTGACTTGAATGGTATAACGCTTTTGAGTTTACTATTTGGAGAAAAAGCAACCACAACCTCTTCCATTCGCAACTACTCTGCAATAGAGTTTAACTTCTGTACATCTGTAAAAATTTTCATAAAAAATTTACTAGTAACCTATTACATTAGACTAAAAATTCTTACATATCGATGTATATAAGTTAAACTAAATCCATTATAATTAAGTTTGTCACTCTCCATCACATTCCTCTTACATTTTCTTGCTCTAGTATTTGTTCTTCTTTCTCTTCACAACCATGGTTTTTGATAGAGATAATGCTCGTTTTGCTGTTGGTGTTTTTGGTCAGTTTTCTCATTTCTTAATTTTCTTGCCCCCCCNTTTGTTTTTTTGGGGCAAAGTCCTGTTACATGAATTTTTCTATGTTTTTTCAATTTTCAGGGAGTATTGTTGCACTCGTCTTGTTTTTATCACCATTGTAAGTAAGCTTTTCCCATGTTAACTCCACAGTTTTCTTTGAGTTCTCAAGATAAAGAACACATATATCATGAAAGTCACAGGCGGATTTAGAATTTTTAGAACATGAGTGTACCACTGAAAAAGTGAGAAAAAAGTACAAGGTAAAAATCTATTCATGTTCCTTTGGATAAATAACTCAGCATTCAAACATATGCATCCTTCAACATTTTTTGGAGTATAGGGGCCAACAAATATTATTAGATCAATTTTACCAAATATATACATAAAATACCTAGTTTGTGAGAAAGATCATGGGTTAACGTGCACTGTAAAAAAGGCCTAAATCCGCCCCTGTTTGAAAGTCAATTCCGCCTTCCTTCCTAAAATCTAAGTTGTTTTCAAGATTTCTTCACCCACCCACCCAAAAAAAAGCGTGCAATGAATTTTACTTATATACACATACAGTATAGAGAATTTAATTGACGCTTACCATAATATAACTAAAGTGATATAAGAGGTAAACTCAATTACGTACTTTAATCTTCGACTTGACCTCTTACTTATGACCTTTTAAACCTTTTGATTAGGCCAACATTTATTCATACATGGAAGAAGAAATCAATGGAGAAGTTCTCACCATTTCCATACATTGCAACATTCCTAAACTGTGGCCTTTGGCTTTTGTATGGACTTCCATGGATTCAGCCACAAGGGGGTATTCTTATCATGACCATTAATGGCATAGGACTTGGCATTGAGATAGTGTACTTGACGATATTCGTGTTGTACTCTGAAAGGAAGCAAAGGATAAAAGTTTTCTTCATTGTCCTAAGTGAAATCATGTTCATTGGTTTAATTGCCATTCTTGTCATAACTCTAGTCCATAGCCACAAAAAAAGGTCTACAATTGTTGGTAACATTTGCATGGTGGGAAATATTTTGATGTATGCTTCTCCTTTGGCCGTCATGGTACGTAAATAATTTATCTTACGTCAGTAGAAAATATAAAAAACTTCTAATACTTTTTATTTTATATAATATTAGTCTGAGATATCCCATTTTTGATAATACATATTTTGAAGGGGTGCCTTGGCGTAACTAGTAAAGTTGTTGGTATGTAACCAGGAGGTCACGGGTTCAAGCCGTGGAAACAGCCTCTAGCAGAAATTAGGGTAAGGCTGCGTACAAATACAATAGACGGTCTGGCCCTTTCCGGACACGTGCATAGCGGGAGTAATACACGGGGTTGTACTATTAGTCTGAGCTGAGTTTAAATAATGAAGCAATCATGACCAGTAGAAAAACTTACATTTTACTATTGTAGAAGTTGGTGATCAAAACGAAAAGTGTGGAGTACATGCCGTTCTTCCTATCCTTTTTCTCCTTTCTCTGCAGTGTTAGTTGGACTACTTATGCCCTCATTCGTCTCGACGTCTACATTCTTGTAAGTATTTCTCAATTTCTTCAACTAATTCTTTGAGGTTATCTATTGCTATTATATACCGTAAATGTATATAAGTTAAATGCATATCGAATTTTCAAAAAGTTCAATTATTTGTTTCAGACGCCGAATGTGATTGGAACGGTGCTCGGCCTCGTCCAATTGCTGCTTTATGCTACTATGAGACAGATAGCAGAAAGAAAAGCCCAAGGAAAACTGGATCCGATTGGAGTCACCAAAAACACAAGCAATGAAACTAGTGTTTAACTTAGTGTTTAGAAGGCCCATTTTCTAGTTATTTTGGGCCATTAACCCAACTTTTATGGGCCCATTTTCCTTCCTAGCACCACATCATAACCCCCACCCCCACTGTTGGAACACAGACAATAAATAACAACAAAAAGCAGAATCAGCTTTCATCTACTGTTATAGTTTATATTTGTTTCTCTAATCTTTATATCAGAGTTTAAATATGGTCAGGCGCACGCACGTAACGGGTTTGTAACTTGCCGACAAAAGTTTGATATTTAAGTGGAGAATGGTGGAGGGCACCTGTTATCCACCGAGTTCTGAATCGTACATTATTAAGCTATCGGGAATTTCTCGGTTATCAAAAAATTATCATAATTTAATTGATATCCATTGATTATGCACACATGGCAGCTAAAAGTCAATTAGTTTATTGGGAGTATAGAATATATGTTTGGCTATACATGCGAGAAATCTAGGAATGGAAATGGGATAGGGCAGGGCAGCGCGAAGTGCTAGTAAGGCAACAGGGACGGAGCTAGAGTACCGAGAGCAGGTTCGGCCGAACCCAGTAGCTTTAGTTCGAACCTTGTATTTGTCTTAAAAATTCATTGAATATGTACAAATTATTAATAAAAACTCAGTAATTTAAAAGAATTAGAATCTCGAACTCATAATACTCCGCCTATGTAATGCATGACAGGAAAACCAACATAAAAACGACTATTTGTAGCATATATTGCAAACATATACTCATAAAATTGTATTTATAAGCACAAGACACAGGAACAAGATTCAAGGGCACAACACACAAGCCATCAATGATATAGGCTCTCAAACATAATATTTCACAAAACACTAAGGGGACAAGGAATAAACGAGCAAAATAAACCTGTTTACTAGCACCCTTAATCCATTGAAGTTATTTTTCCATTCTCTAATAACTGTTTTTTTCTATCCTTTTTTTTTAAAAAAAAAATCTTAAAATCCTCTTGAGGGAGGTGTAAGTCAATGTCTGTCTTGCTTAAGCCAGTGTTGTAGTTGGTAGTTGGTAGTCGCCAAAAGTAAATTAAACTTATTGTTATTATAAAATTTAACAAATATTGGATAATTTTGTCTACTAAAGCTTAGTCAAATAAAAAATAATAATATTGTAGCATGTTAACTACCTCGTTTCCCAAGTTCAATTCCTCCCTATAAGCTATAGTTATGTTTTAGTTGATTTCATAGTATTGTTTACACATTTGTATATATAAATTAAAACTCTAACAAATGCTTCTTTTGGAGATATTTATGAATAATTAAGTTACTTATTTAAAGCAATGAATATATTAATTATAGATGTTTAAATATGTTATTCATGGGATATGAAATCGGGTTCATATTGATATGAAACTAATGCAAGACTGATTATTAGATTTGTAATATCTAAGATGCGCTTATTATATGTTTTTTGCTTGATATTTATGATAAAAGTATGGCTTGATATTTAGTTTAAAGTACTTCTCAAAATACATCTGCATACTTGTTTAAATTATGTTTAATGAAATATTTTAACAAGTTGACTTGCAATTATCATAGTATTATAAGTTGGTTTTACTATAGTTTTATATTTATGATAATAGTATTGTTTGATATGTAGCTTAAAATACTTGTTCAAAATACATCTATGTAATTGTCAAGCTATGTTAAATGAAATATTCTAACAAGTTGACTTGCAAATATGATAATATGAATTATTGAGATGTGATATAATCAAGTCTAGTGATTTGACTGTTTAATATCTGATTACTTTGTATTCAGGTTTAGGTAAACACTTACGTCAATAATGGGATGAATATCTCTTTTATGTTATAAAATATAACTCAAAGTAACAATATGAAATAAGGAAAAACAAGCTAAGAGATAGATATAGAGAAAGAGATAAGAAATTCTTATTTCTTCTTCAATTGTGTGTATTTTTCTATCTATTACAAGGCATTTATATAGGCATGAAAAGTGAAGAAAATATGTTATTGAATATGTTATTAAACATAGAAAATATATTATTGAATATATCATTAAGAATTTGAGACGAAGATCATGGAGGAAGAGTAAACATCCACCATAATTTGATTTCTTATAACGCTCCCCCTTGGATGTCCATAGATAATGTGCCTCGTTAAAATCTTATTAGAAAAAAAATTCTAGTGAAGGAAAAAGAGTACACATGTTTAGAAATACGCTTTTTGGTTGCCTCGTTAAAAACCTTGCAAGGAAAAAACTCAGTGGGATAAAACTTTATAAGGAAAAAAGAGTACAACACGTATTAACTCCCCCTGATAAGAGCATCAGTTTACATCCTTGAGCCTTTGCATTCCAATTTTGTACACTAATTTCTTGAAGGTTGGCGTCGGTAGAGATTTGGTGAACAAATCAGCCATATTATCACTTGAACGAATCTGTTGCACATTGATATCACCATTCTTTTGAAGATCATTTGTAAAAAAATAACTTTGGTGAAATGTGTTTTGTCCTATCTCCTTTTATGAATCATCCCTTCAATTGGACTATGCATGTTATATTGTCTTCATACAAAATTGTGGGTAGTTTATCACACTTTAAACCACATTTGTCTCGAATAAGATGTATTATAGACCTCAATTAAACACACTCTCGACTTGCTTCATGAATAGCAATCATCTCAGCATGATTAGAAGAAGTAGCCACGATTGATTGCTTAGTCGATCGTCAAGATATGGCAGTGCCTCCACATTTCAACACATAGCATGTTTGAGATCAAGCCTTGTGTGGGTCAGATAAATATCCAGCATCGGCATAACCAACACGATCGGGATTGCAATCATTAACATAAAATAAGCCCATCTGTAGTTTCTTTTAGATACCGCAATGTGTTTGATTCCATTCCAATGTCTCCTTGTAGGAGCAGAGCTATATCTTGCTAAGACATTAACTGAAAAAGTTATGTCAGGCTTTGTAGTGTTAGCAAGATACATTAGTGCACCAATTGCACTAAGATACAAGATCGAGATTGCAATCATTGCCATAAAATAAGCCCATATAGGTAGTCCCTTTTAGATACCGCAATATGTGTTTGATTCCATTCCAATGTCTTCTTATAGAAGCAGAGCTATATCTTGCTAAGACATTAACTGAAAAAGTTATGTCAGGCCTTGTAGTGTTAGCAAGATATATTAGTGTACCAATTACACTAAGATATGGTACTTCAGGACCAAGAAGCTCTTCATTCTTTTCTTGAGGTCGAAACGGGTTCTTATTCACATCAAGTGATCGAACAACCATCGGAGTACTTAATGGATGTGCTACATCCATGTAAAACCGTTTCAATACCTTTTCTATGTAGGCATATTGATGAACAAAAATCTTGTTTGCCAAATGTTCCATTTACAAACCGAGACATAATTTTGTCTTTCCGAGATCTTTCATCTCGAATTCCTTCTTTAAATAATCAATTACCTTTTGGAGTTCTGTAGGAGTTCCAATAAGGTTTATGTCATCAACATATACGGTAAGTACAACAAACTCCGATGTTATTTTCTTTATAAAAATATATGGATAAATGGCATCATTTATATAACCTTCCTTTAATAAATATTCACTAAGGCGGTTATACCACATTCTTCCTGATTGCATTAGATCATACAAAGATCTTTGCAATTGGATTGAAAACATTTCCATGGACTTTGAATTATATGCGTCATGTATTTTAAATCCCTCAAAAAATTTTATATATATCTCATTATCAAGTGAGCCGTAAAGGTAGGTTGTAACCACATCCATTAAATACATGTCAAGCTTTTCATGGACAGCAAAACTAATGAGATAACGGAATGTTATAGCATCCATAACAGGAGAATACGACTCTTCATAATCGATGCCATGCCTTTGTAAAAATCCTTGTGCAACAAGGCGTGCCTTATATCTTTGTACCTCATTTTTCTCATTCCTTTTACGTACAAAGACCCATTTATATCCAATAAGCTTAACACCATTAGGTGTTTGGACTACAGGCCCAAAAACTTCACGTTTCGCAAGTGAATCTAACTCATATTGGATTGCTTCTTGCCATTTTGGCCAATCGCGTCTTTGCCGACATTATACAACAGATTGAGGTTTAAGATCCTTATTATCTTGCAAAATGCTAGATGCAATATTGTATACTATCACGACCCGAAATTTTCTACCGACGGGACCGTGATGGCGCCTAATATTTTACTTGTTAAGCAAGTCAATGTTAGAAAAATCGTTAAATCAATTCCTTATTTCCATTCAGTAAATAACCATAATTAACTAAGATGAAATATATTAAGTGCGGAATATCGTAAAACTATATTAATTACTACCACCCGGATCTGGAGTCACAATTCACGAGCATTATAGAATTTACTACAAGTAATAGTCTGAAAGAAATACAATTGTCTGAATGAAAGAAAACAGTAGGACATAAAAGATAGACGGGGACTTCAAGGTCTGTGAACGCCGACAGATCTACCTTGAGTCTCCGGACAGCGGACCAGTAGCAAATCTCGATCAACCTGAGCCGGTATCTAAATCTGCACAGAAAGTGCAGAGTGCAGCATCAGTACAACCGACCCCATGTACTGGTAAGTGTCGAGCCTAACCTCGACGAAGTAGTGATGAGGCTAAGGCAAGGCACCTACAAATCAACCTGTACAATTTAACAGTATATATGCAAATAATAGAAATGAAGAACCAAACAGGAAATGTCGGGAGGGGAACATACTGAGGGGAATACAAGATAAAGAACTACAACAGAGTGATCATCGGAGCAGTCAATATACCATGAATCAACAGGAATAGTAAATATAGTAAGGAAAAATGCACGACATCACCCTTCGTGCTTTTACTCTCAATCTCACCATAAAATAAATAAAAATGGTACGGCATCACCCTTCATGCATTAACTCTCATATCATGGCATGGCATCACCCTTCGTGCATTAATACTCACAATATGGCACGGCATCACCCTTCGTG